CACCTTGGACAGGGCTTGGAGCACCCTGGACTAGTGGAAGATGTCCCTGCCCGTGGCAGGGGGTGGCACTGGGTGGGTTTTAAGGTCCCTTCCAACCCCTCAATGCTCCCTGAGCCACCTGTGCCACTGCACACTGGTGTTTGTCACCGCTCCTCCGCCCTCGGGAAGGTGTCTCATGAGTCCTTAACCAAACAGCAGGGCGCTGGCTGTCACCCCAGGGGGCACATGAGCTCCCAGGCCACATCAGATCATCAGCAAAAGCCACAAGCTCCTGGAGCAACAACCTCCCAGGGCCAAACTCTGCATCAGCAAGGGCCGGGAGACCCCAGAGCAAGCTCAGCTGTGATGGTGCTGACACAGGGGTGTCACACGTGAGGTTCTGGGTACGCTGTGAGCACACCAGTGATGAGAGAAGCTCTCCCTGCTTCTGCCCCCAGAACGCCTTCCCCAGCAGATCTCACTGCAGGTTGGCTTCACACGCCGTTGGGAAAGGAGCAGTGTATTAGGTAGGAGATGTTGCAATTTGAAATAAAAGCAGCGCTTTGGCTTCCCAGCGATAACCCTGGGCACGCTCCGGGCCAGGTCGATGCCGTCACCCAGCAACGGCTTTGCCAGCCAAGACCTTCAGCCTGGAAATGGGAATTGCTGCTGCTTGCACCTCTCTGCCCTGTCAACAACCAGCTCTGCTTCATGGGTTATGGCTTAATTAAGCTCAGCTTAATGGGACACCTGGAGGTGGGTGGGGGGGTCATCCCAGTGTGGAACAAAATTCCAGGCTGTGCCGAGGCAGCCGAGGCCCGTGGTCACTGCTCAAGTACCCAAAACACAACTCCACAGCTCTGTCCAGCATCGACCCAGGCACACCTCAGTGTGCTTTGGACAGACACAGGAAGCAGAAATAATGACCTGAAGGACCCCTCAAAGACGTTGAGACTGAAGGGACAAAGCTGTTTTCACCCAACGAAAGCCTGCTTTCATCCAAATCTGTTCCAGATTACCCATTAGATGAAAAAAAAACCAAAAAATAAACCAGAAAATCCCGTTGCATGCGCCAGCTCTATTTCACAATCCACCTCCATCAAGTAAACAAAAGCCAGGCTGGGGAGAGAAATTAATCTGGAGAGCATTTCAGGAATTTAAAGATGAGCTCAGCTGCACCTGCCCAGTCCAACCAGTGGAACCACACCAGCCACAGCACCTCCAGCCCACTGCAGCCGCACGGCTCCGGCCTCTGTTCCAGAACCCTGCTCTTATCAGAGGCCTCATCCCGCTTCCAGCACCTAATTGTCCCTGTGGAAACGCTGAACAAAGGGAGGATCAAAGGTAAAATCCCGAAGCAAAGCAGGAGAGATGAGTTAGCGGGCAGATCCTTTAGCTGGGATCCTTTCTGAGGTGAGGGAGGTGCGTGGTTGCTTTAAATCTGATTTTAATCCTGTAAGAGAGAAGCGGGCTGGCAGGAAAGACTTTAATGCCTCCGCAGCATGGAAACGTGATTCCAGGACAGGCTGTTCCCTCGATAACGTGACAGCCGTGGCTCTGGGAAGAACTTGAGCGTGGCAGGGAAGGCACACATACACACACATACAAGAGAGCCCTTCACTTCCATCCCCTGGATTTAGGGGCTTAAAGCTGATCTGCAGCCAGGAGCCGAGCTCAGCACGGGGGTTTTTCGGGGCTAACCCTGCCCGCAGCGCTCTCACCTCCTGGATCGCGATCTCCGGGAGAGGTCCCTGCGGGGCGGGTACCGCAGCCTGCCCTCGTACTCCCTGCTCCGCGACCGCCGCCGCTTCCAGCGGTGCCCCAGCTCGCCGTCCTGCTCCGGGGACCGGAACCTCCTGCAGTGATGCATCTGCGGGGCAAGAACACGGCGGGGCTCAGAGCGCTGGCCCCGAGCGCCGCCGGACCCCCGGGAGCCGGCCGGGCCGGGCCGGGCGCTGCCGGAGCGCTGTGCCCGCGGGGCCGGGGGGTTGTGGGGCCGTTACCCGCCCGTTCCGCGCCCGCCACCCTCGCGTCTCGCCCCGGCCCCTCCCGCGTCCCCTCCGGCCTCACCGCCGCCACTGCGGCCGCGCTCGGC